GTTGTCAACCCATCAAGGAGCACACAGCCAGCAATAGAAAACATAAAAGTTGATGATATGTAATCTTACAAGCTGCAGGTGCAAGTGTATGTGGACAGGGCAGATATTGCTGCACCATCATGTTGTCAGAGATGGCCCAGTGCTCTTGGGCGTAGCTCTTTTTACAGAAAGAGTGCTGGTCTGAATATTGGTTACATGTGTGATGTATTGTTGTCTTTCTCTCACTCTCACTGTCTGCCTGTATGGGAAGCTGAAGCAGGGATGTGACTCCTGAGAGTGGGGGAGGAATGAAGGACGATGTGATTGTGTGTGTGTGTGTGTGTGTGTGTGTGTGTGTATAGGGTTCGGATGGAGGGGGTCGGATGGGGGAGGGGTGGATAGGTTCGTGGAGAGAGTTTTGGGGTGACTGCACATGCTCCCATCAATGAACACATGGGTATGAGTGCAGTCTAATGAGGGTCCTGTGTGTGACTGTCTTGTATCTGTGATGATTAGCTGGAAAAACAAGGAGGATTTATGACAATTGAGGGTGGGGTTATAAATCACTATCCCATAAGCAGAGGCATATGAATTTATGGGGTTTTAGCATTATTGTTTTCACAATCCGTAGATGCAATCAAACACAATGAAAATACAGGATACCTAAAAAGCTTTCATATGCTTTGTTGGGTCAAAAATCTGACTTACTATGTAATGTAACACAATAATAGTAATTTAACAATTATTACATTATTTAATCAGGAAAGAGCTACACTGAGATTAAAAGTCTCTGCCAAGATAGCATGTAGACTATTTTTACAGTTTACATTTAAATGCAATGTATTCGTCCCTATCCCTCTTGGTATAATAGGTATTTCTTTTTGATTGGTCTTAATCAATCGACTGAACCATGACAAACAGCTTGATGGGTGCTGTGACTGCCTGACTGGTCTTTGGTACTAATTTGTGATGGATAATGCAACTGTTTTTATATGCTTACGTTCTTTGTTTGAATACATTTCATACATTTCTAATGCTATAGTGCTACCCAAAACATCTCAGCATGTTAGTGTTATCATTGTAAGTACAACCTCTCATACCCCTTTTCCACCTAATGTTAGTTCTGGGCTGGAGAGTTGGTTCAGAGTTGGTTCAACTTCACAACCTTCTAAAAACCAGTTTATTTTTCCACAGGCTAAAGAGCTTCTCACATCAAATGTAACACTAAAGTTACAAACAATGATAAGAACATAACATTGATGTGAGAAATTAGTAGCTATGCATGCTTGAATAAGGTTACAGTTAGCTAGCTAAACAGCTAATAAATACATAGCTGGCAGGCCAAGGCGCCCTCCAGCCCCTGTTGTAAGTGGTTCTTGGTTCTAGACCAGAAAAATGTTTGTGCCAGGTTGGGAACCAATTTTTCCTGGCTGAGATCCGGTTCCCGTCTAAATGCAAAGAACTGATTCGAGATTAGGCACAGCTATCCGGCTGTAGACTCTTGTCTCTCTTGTCTAGTTTGTCAGGGGATGTGACCGATGCAGGTGGGGCCCAGGTGCTTTATCTAATCTGCGTATACAACCTGGCAATGTAAATTCCACATACACGCACACTTCAGTCATGCTGGTGCCGGCTGGTGGCGTCTGGGTTTATGTGCTTAGTTCACCGTCACGCTCAACACCCTGATATATGCTCTTGGCCCAGTGTGCAGCAGCAACAGCATGCCCACAACCACTCATATTACTCATGCAGAAACACACATACACACACACATACCATGTAGAATGTGGGTTTACTGAAAGATGAGCTTGGCAATGGAGATCATGATCATACTGTCTGACTCAACTCTGAACAATGGAGTGAGCTAAGGAGTGGGTATGAAAAGCATTACGCAGCCATGACATTTTATCTGTGTCAAATTTGCCTGTCTGTATGTTGGGCATTACTCAACTCAATCACTTAACTTCACACAAACAGATTTACACACATGAAATATAAAGGGCTGTGACAGCTTTTGAGGACACCCAGACAGCAGGCTCTATTTTTTGTTTCTTTTTTTTTGTTACATAAAAATGTTTTTCATTTTAGGAAGAGATCAAGAATAAATGGTGTTAAATAGGACTGCAATTCTGTTTCATTTCACAATTTGTTTGATCAATTAGTTCTTTGTCCTAAAACATTGCCGAAGTTGATATCTCCAGATGTCTTGTTTGTCCAACCAAAAATATTATATTATATATTACACGAGAGAAAGAAAAGCAGCAAATCCTCTGAAATGAGAAGCTCGAGTTAGTGAATGTCTTGAAATGAAGAATCAATTATCAATATAGTTGCCAATTATTCTTCTGTTGATTGACTAATTGTTTAATCGCCTAATCGTTTCACCTCTAGTCTGAAATATTTCGCACATTTGAGACTATTGAGGTATAGTATCGTGCTAGTAACAAGTAGTGTCAGGAGTAATTCATGCTAAATTAAATTAAAAAAAGTTTGAATGTCCCTCACACTATTTCATATATCTTCCCTCTATTCCCCCATTAATGTATCCTGGTTGAATCCCTTATTTTAAATGACAATGAAGTATGTGCCATCTACATTAACTACAGTTGTAAATACCAATGGGTACAGATTTATCTGTCTCTTGTACTCCATTTCTAATTTATGTCGTCACGTGTTAGTAATATTATGAGACAGTTTGGTAACAGATGGCTCGGGCCCCAATGTTCCTCTGAGGTGTTTTCTCATTGAAGAATAATTTGAATCTGTCAAAGTTGGCTGAATATCACGTTTAGGCACATGGACATGTTGGAAACTATCCAACTCTCTCCACCAAATACTGCCAGTATAACAGCTTAACGGACCTCCCACCTCACACCCTGACACCTGCCTGTGTATCTGCACATGTATGGGGAAAAGAGAGGTATCACCTTAACTCCTAAACATAAACCAGAGCTCCCTGGAATGTGGAGCTATACGAGGGATCCGATCTTATCAGGTTTTCTTTTGTGATATGTTCTTCCTCTTTATCAAATCCCTTCTGTTTGACGTGTGTTTGGGGTAGCTTAATGCCGGTGGGGTTTCCTAGTAGACCACCAGTGATGTGTAGCATGAGCTGTCTAGACTTTGGGTGGCTGTTTGGGGTTCTCACTCATTAAGGTGAGAGGGAATCATTCCTGAGCCACACACGGCTGCACCTCAAAACAAGTAGTTGTCGGGGAAGAGGAATAGAAAATACAAAGTAGAGCTGTCTGTGGCAGTCTGGGTGGTATCAGTGGTAGTTTCTGTGTCTGTGTGTAAAAGACTATGTGTGATGGCTAGCATGAAAGTGAGGACAAAAGCTTTTTCTTACTCTGGATAAAAAGATGTTGAGTCACTGTGGCAGCTGTTCTCATCATGTAAAATGAGTAAGATGTTGGGATATGCAGCAGTCAGGTGCAGCATGTTGACTCACCCCTTTCCCATCACTTTTAAACTGTGTTTTTTCCACATATATTTACTTATCTGTGCCTACTGGCCCCATGCTATAAAGCTTTTTACCTTACATGAAATAACACATTTTTTCTCTAAAGTAATCACATCATAGTCAAAAGACAGGTTATGCTTATTTGTCTTGTGTAATATTGCCTCTACATTTAATCCCCACATTTAGAGCAAAGTCCAAAGTTCAAATCTTAGTTCAAATTCAAATGTAGCAAAGTAAGTACATGTGTAGCTAGTTAGTTAGCCACGCTATGCTAACCCTTATGCTACAGTGTTAACATGCTAACAGTAAGCTTTCGGAGCTATCATTAGTGTTAGCGATAGTGAGATATGGACCAACCTCATCACCTGACTGACTGATCGACTGACCAACATGCTTTTGAATCCATGCTGCTAGCTGCTAAAATCTTTGCCAAACTACAAAAGATGAAAATTATTAGGAAAGTAGGCACATACAGCACCCATCAGAGTGGAGCCAATATTATAAAATGTACACAATGTACTGTATTGAACAACAATCTCAATCATCCAGCACAAGAGTAAATTTGTACCCAGCACTCTTGTTATGGCTGGTTGATGAGTGTTAGACGTCTACTTCTCAGTCTGTTTGTCTGCATGCAGTGCTGCCAGCTTGCTACACTGTATTTATAGGCAAAATACTTCCACAGAGATAGCTCTAATTTAAGTGTGTACATAACAAGGTAGATATGAAGGGGGCTGGTGATGGGAACTTTTCACACAGCCATTGCAGCTAGTCATTGGTGCCTAACATTTTCTATATCATCGTTGTTGATGTAATTGTAATTATATGTAAGCAGCAAGCACATTGTAACTACTATTGTTGTGGCATCAAATTTATTGTTGATCCCTTTCACTCTTGTCTTTCCATCTTACAAGCTGCTCTTTATTCTCCGATCTTTCTCCTCTGTCTCTGTTTCCTCATGTCTCGCTTCCATGCGTATGCCATGGCTGACGGTGTTGGGTGGAATGTGGCTCAACGTTCGGTTTTTAAATAGCATCCTAGCCTGAATCAGCCACTCCTAATAAGGCAGAGGGCAGTGACACTGGCCCCAAAATATCAGCAACCACCTCACTGAGAATAAAACTTTTCCTTGCCTTGATAGTGAAGGATGATTGGTGATGTGTGTAGACACAAGACGCTGTACATGCAGACTCTGCAGAGCTGTTTTTAATCAGTCAAGAAGTCAAGATAACATAACAGCATGTTTGAATAGGCTTTCTAGAGCTGCAGGTATTTGTACTCTACAGTAATGCTGGTAAGTCAGCTGAGGCTGTATGAAATTTGCCACCAGTGACATGTGATATAATATGAGAAAAGGTGATGTACAATGACCCTGTTACCAAAAACAAGCAGGTCATTATGCAAAGTTCTTTAATAGCGTCTAACCACTGCCACTAGACTGACCAGTAAGTAGTAGTACTCACATGAGACGCTTAGTCTATGATACATGACCCTGTGAAATCAGCAATCAATATTTATTACCAGACATTACAATTAAATGTGAGTAATGTTCCTTCAGGATCCTTGTGGGGGCGCCGCAGGCAGCAGGGCAGGGCCTGTTGCGGGGCAGTCGGCCAGGAGCCTTGTTCAGGTGTCCAATCACACCAGAGGAGTACGACTGTGAGAGGGTGGATATTGATGGAGATGGTGAGTAGTAGTACTAGTAGAAACAATTAGCCATTTGAGTAATTTTATAAGCAGAAATGTCAAAAATTGATTTGTTATTGTAGCACTAATTTATGTCAGTTGTATAGTATAGTATAGTTGTTACAACAGGTTATAAATATGGTGATGATCATTTTCTTCTAATCTCCCACCTTTCATTGTTAAAAAAAAAATAAAAAAAAATAAATTCATAAAAGTCCAGTGTGTAACATTTAGGAGGATCTATTGGCAGAAATGGAATATAATATATAATAATAAACTATGTTTTTGTTAGTGTATAATTACCTGAGAATAAGAATTGTTGTGTTTTCGTTACCTTAAAACAAGACATTTTTATCTACAGTGGGTCCTGTTCTACTGAACCGCCATGTTGAACCTTCATATTTCTACAGTACCCCAGAACAGACAGACTAAATGGCTCTAGATAGGGACATTTCATGGTCCTTTGTGCTTGGAAGGGGAGGGTGAAGCGAGGGAGTTGCAATCTGTAATCCTATAATCTTCTAAATCCTACACACTGGACCTTTAAGTGAAAAGTGTCAGTTTAATGTATAATGAAAATAAATGGTTTGTACACAGTCACTAATACTTCACAGGGTTTCCTTCCTTGAATTTTCCACAGAGATTATCTGTGACTTTATCTTCCTCCTCTGACTATTCTGCAACTTCAGAATAAGCCTTTCTAGACTCATTCGGTTACAAACTTTTGTATTCAAAAGCGTCTACCTAATGTTGACATTAAAATGAATTACTCCAAATTGACTATAATTTGAGCTTTAATATTTCCACTGAATAACTGTTGTGTGCTGTTGGCTTACTGCGGCTCAGATCCTAATTGGTTTACAATATGGAAACCGTTATGATTGCCATTTCCTTCTGTGTTTTCCCTTAGTGAGTCTGAACAGAGAGAGCAAAGACAACCAGTGGCTGGGAGTTACTGTCAAGAGTCAGGGGATTGGAGGGAAGGTGGTGGTAAGTAAAGACAACATCCTGTAAATGCATCAGTGCAGGAAGCTGCAAGAAGACATTTTCAGCTTTGTTTTGAGTATCATACCAGCCAACGGATGTCCAAAACACCCACAAACATGCATTTCTTATCATAACAAGCAAAGTAAATAATAAAAATATGACTCTAATGCCATTCCCTGTCCCTCACCAGACCTGCGCTCACCTGTATGAGCTCAGGCAACGTGTAAACCAACCCTCAGAGACTCGTGACCCCATTGGACGCTGCTACGTCCTGAGTGAGGATCTGACAGAGCGAGATGACCTAGACGGGGGAGAGTGGAAATTCTGCGAGGGCCGGCCACAGGGACATGAGCAGTTTGGCTTCTGTCAGCAGGGCTTATCTGTCAGTTTCACCCCAGACAACAACTTCATTCTGTTTGGGGCTCCGGGAACATACAACTGGAAAGGTAAGGTGTCTGACTGACCTGCAGAAGGCTGGATCATGGAAACAAGGCTGTGAAAGCTACACAGACATTTTATGGAGAGATATACCATTGTTTTGTTGCAGTTTTAAAGCTGCATTAATTCATAAATTTAAATACATTTTTGTAGGGCACTAGGTGGCAGCAACAAGCAGAGAAGCAGTTTCTTTCATTCTATTACAGGTTTGAAGACGTAGATGCACTTAATATCCTAGTTTATATTGATTTCCCCCCTTTTTCTTTCATTAGGATGGATTTTATCAATGGTGTTCAGTGGATGTAAAGGTGCTACTGGAAGAAATACTTTTGCAAAATAATGTGAGCTAGAGAAGAGAGCCAATCCATGTAAATGGCCTTAATTAAAACAGTACTATTAACAGGACAATACTGTTGGGGATAAAAAAATCTAATTGATTTACAAGCCAATCTAGTGATTGGACACAGAAATTATGCACAGCAGCAGCATAACTTAATCAAAGAAAGCACTGGGATTCATTTGGTGCAGTACTCGATTGATTTATTTATTTTGTCTTGTCATAGTCTGTCACATTAGATCAATGCTGTGCTTTACTGCATAATAATCTTAATTTATACAATTCATTGAAATATGAATCTACATTTTGTCTGGTAAATTGTATTTTGAAATGTAAAGTATATATAGAGTGTGATTTTATATATGTGTGTGTGTGTGTATGGGCTTATCCCAAAATCAAAAGTTTGGAGTGTGTTCACTGCCTACTCAAACCAGAGAAAAATGTATTGATTGTGAATGGTGGTGAGACAGCTAAAGAAAAGTATTGGGAAAATCTTAAGTGAAACACTTTTGATTGACGTCTAGTGTTGCACATGTATTGTATTATTTCCTGTAAGTATAAAATGATAAAGTAAAGTACAATTGTTTGTAGACTAACTGCTAAAACAGTATACCATGACGATCAGTATGTTTTATATAGCTACTGTATAGAATTTGAAAGTTAGACAGATTAGGGACTTTGTGTGGATGTGATTGTTTGTACTCTGATGTCTGCAGTGTGTGAAAGTGTGTGAGTGTTGTCTTGTTGCTGTGGCCCTCACCTATTTCCATTCCAGGGGAGATGCGCGTCCAACTCCTAAACCAGACTCAGCTTGACCTCGGTTTCTATGACGACGGACCCTATGAGGTGGCAGATCAGAAACAACTTAATGCCCAGCTCATCCCTGTGCCCTACCACAGTTACCTGGGTAGGATTTGCCCTCCCTGCTCACTGCTGCCTGTGCACAGGAGAGAAAGAGAGGGCCGGGGGAGGGCGACACCAGGGCTCAGACTGTACCCCAACATGGCTGCCGTGACCAGGAGCTAGTAACAGTAGCAAACTGCCTCTAACTGGTCTTTCCCTGTTGATTATTTCTGGATGAGCCAATCTTTGTGTGACTCACAAAATCCAGATTTTTTTTTTTACTCTTGCCCTTCTGAATGTGGGTGGAGGGTGGTGAAAATTGTCCGGAGCTTATTGTGGCATGACATGAATTCTTATGATGACAGTATGTCCTAAGTTTGGAACATTTCCCTTCAAGGGGTGAACAAGGAAAATATATAACTCCCACCCAAAAAAAAAAAATCAACCTAACAACCATGACGTTATCCTCATTCTATCCACCGCCCTCTTCCAGAAACAAAGTACAGGAAAACTTAAGAGGGTGGTGTACAACCAGTCAGGGCACAGTCTGAGCCTGATATGTTGTCTCTCCACCAGGTTCCCAGTGGTTTTGCAGGAAAAAAGCCACTGCGGCACCACAAAGACAAAACAAACAATCAATCACAGCCTGTCTCACCTGCACCTCCCTCTCCCTCTTCTCTTTTTACTCTTTTTTTCCCCCTCACCATTTCACCACCCCATCACTCCCCTCCCACACTCCTCCCTCTGTCTCTCTTTCTATTTCTGTATTTCTTTTCCCATCTTGGGCCATAGGGCTCTTGTTCATGGCTAGCCCCATTGAAGATGCACTGCTGTACAAAACTCTGGAGCCCTCCAGCCGGCCCACACCGTTTGAGGATGTAGCTCATAATAGCTACTTAGGTTTGTAGGCGTGAGGTGTTCTTGTTTGGACCGGACTTGGGCTTGTAGTGGAAGTAGTCCCAACCCTCTTCTCCGTATTTGTCTTAATCCTTTCTGCTAATTCCGCCTCGTGTCTGCGTATATAGATTTTCAGTGTGTAATCTATGTACTAGGTGGGACCGTATCACCTTTACTGTTATGAAGAGACAGCCATCCAAAACTGCAAATGTTCTGTAAAACTATGATTTAATTTAATTGAATGTAATTTAATTTAATTTAATTTAATTTAATTTAATTTAATACTAGTTGCTGATTTGACAATGGTAAGCAGATGGTTGTCTTTTTGAGTAGCAGCAAGGTGTCTGTCTGTTTTGTCTATAGATATCTGTTGTTTGTAGTGTGTTGAGTCAGTCTGCATGTGTGTGTCGGGACTTTCCAGGTGGTGGTTTTCTTGTCAGTTGTCATAGTTTAACTAAATCGTTTTACTGATTAAAGGGTTTAACTAACAAATAAGAAGCTACAGCTGTGCTAGTGGCTCTGTAGGGCAGTGCTTAGGCAAAATGGTGCTTTGAGCTATGTTCACAATGACAATGCTAACATGCTGATGTTTAGCAGGTATAATGTTTACCGGGATAGGACTAGTTTAGCATGCTAACATTTGTTAATTAGCACTAAACACAGTAGCGCTAAGGCTGATGGGAATGCCATTTGTTTAATCAAAAACGCATTACATTTATGACCTTATTATGGTGCTAGATGTAAAGTTGAGGGTTCACCAAAATGATTACAGTTTATCCTGAGGGGGACATGAATGCCTGTACCACACTTCATGGAAATCCATCTTACATTTTATTTAAAACCACAGAAGTCAACCTCATTACTAAAGTCATTAGGATCCATCATCTGGGGACCTTGACTGACTGTACAAAATTATGTTCCAATCCATCATGTAGCTGTAGACATATTTCACTGAATCAGTAACAACTTTGACCTGGTGGTGGCACTAAAGGAAATATCTGAAGATCTTCAAAGTCAGTAGGATTCATCCTCTGGGGATCTTGAATACCTGTGCAAAATCTCATGGCAATCCATCAAATAGTTGTTGAGATATTTTAGCTTGGACTAAAGTGGTGGACTCAAGTTTGTATTTTGAAGAAAGCACTGCGATTGTGATATTGTTACAAATCTCTTGGTATTTAGTCTCCATGTGTAATGAGCCATCGTCAACTGTTAACAGGTCCTTTTTATTGTTATTGTGGGGTTCCAGGTATTACTTTTCACTAAGTGTGTGGATCTTTCATGAATCTCTTCACTCACATACCTCCAAGCCTACTTACCCGCCTGCTCTCCATATTGAGCCGTCTCCTTGACAACACTAATTCCCACATGACCTTTTAGCCTTCATTTATTACTCACATGCTTCCATTGATCCTAACCAGATGATATGCCACACCTATGCATGCTCACTAAAAATGAAGTATCATTTAATACAAAAACACATTCCAAGGAGCAGTGTCTTGTTGAATTAAAGCACACACCCTTTTTACCTCCATCAAGGCCAAATCAAATGCTGTCATAGAGACCAGAGTAAATGTCTCTGCTGCAGTGTGTTGTGTATTTAAATAACAATGGTGAATGCATGCATTAAAAAAAGTAAGAAATGTGACAAAAAATGAATTATTTGCTGTATATACTGCTCAAAATAAAATTTCTCATCATTACAGTTTATAATTATTTTGTTTTAATTGCAAAAATTAAATATGAAAAGTATTTAACAGGATATAAGCAAAAAAAAGGAAAAAATGTAAAAGTGAATTTAAAAAAAAGGAAAATGAGTAATAAGAGGCGAGTAATTGATAAAAAGTTGCAATTTGACTTAACAAAACCATTCATTTCAATTATATCAAGCTATTACAAAATACATAGGAATCATCTGAGTTTGGAGAACATTTTGAGAATAAAATTAAATAGATAATAAGGTTAATATCATTACTTATTGGAAAGTGGTTTGATGAAAATTACCAATAAAAATTTAAGGTTATGTATAACTGGTTTAGTGAGGATACACCTACCACAGGAGAATGGGGAAAAGATCACATGGAACAAAAAAACAAACTTTGAAAAAATTGCCTTCCTTTCCATAGGAACAGTAGCATTTAATAGTGACATTCACAATGAAATGCTACACTCACTGAATGTGTATATGTATAAACAGTTAAAATATTTTAAATTAGAATAGAACAAAACAACAAAACGGGCAATACAATAGAACAAAGTAAAATAGAAAAAGTAGCACTGAATGAATGAATAAATAACAATGTTATATATACATATATGTACGAATATATACAGTATAACTGTAATATGCAAAGCCTTGAGGTGGCATTGAGGGCAGTGGGCCCCTTTAAAACCTTGTGCTGCTTTAAATTCCCCATTTAGTTTTACAGAGACGGCCTTGTAGCAAGCCCACATGTTAAAAGCCACCCTGTGTGGAAAAAGTAGCACCATTGTCTACGTGCGGAGGTTTTTACACGACCTGCAATGCGGACTGTTGCATTCCACACCTGCCACCCTGGAGCTGCCCACTGTTGTTGTCTCTGTCTGCATGTTTACTCAGGTCTAACAAATGCCCCCCCATGTCCTTAGGATTACCCTCCCCTTTCACACCCTCTGCATGTTTGCAAACTGATGAAGCAAATGCATGTGGTTGCTTCTGTTCAGGTGAAATGTTTCATATGATGTGCTATTTTTCACAGCTTGATAACAACATTTTAACACAATCTTGTTATGAAGCAAACACACAGACACACACACACACAGGCACACACACACACACACACACACACCTCCCCCTTGTTCTACCTGATTTATATGCATCACATTCCTTTACACACACACACACACACACACACACACCTTGTTAACCTCAGGATTAACCTGAGCCCGGGGCTATACACTGCGTTTGTACTGGCCCTGTTTAGAGCTGTGTGATCCATTTCTTTAAATTCAATAAATAGTTACAACATATGAAAAGATCACATTAAAAGCACATTTCTTGTTATATTTTTGATTATATACTGAACAAATAAATGGTACTTATACTTTTATTTAGGACCTTAAATTAAGTTTATAAAGCGTATACAATAAGAAGCAAAAATATAGATGATTCAACATTCACTATCTTGATGACATGTCGCCTTTATTAAATGCAGATGTTGTATTTCCTCTCCTATAATAGAACATGATGGATTATAAACTATAATTCTGTGGTAATATTGTAGATCTACAATGAAAGATGATTTTATTTTTGTTGTTATTCATCGATACTTTCTCATTTCTCTTCAGAAACTGTGGCAACCTGAACTTCTCGTGGCGTAACGAGTGCAACCAGTGCAAGGCCCCGAAACCTGAGGATGCTGGTGGGATGCCCCCAATGGACAGAGGTTAGACCTCCGCACTCTTTGTATAATAAATACCTCTCGAGATGGTGTTTTTATTGGTTTTATACCAGAGAAATATTATGTAAACTATCCTTGTTGACCTGGTCTGGTATCAGTCCATTAAACTGGAGTTATTGTACTTTGTTGTTTCTTTTATAACTTTGTTGTCATTACTTCACTAACACTCCTCATAACATCTGAGTACAATAGAGAGACACTGAGTCATCTAAAACCACAGTGCTGTTTATTTGTCTAAGGTGTGTGTTTCACCCCCCCGGGGGTCAGACGCAGTGACGGTGATGTCCTCTGGCAGGAGTTTACAAATTGTCACCAAATTGCTTGTTCTGCCGTCAGGAGGTTACGGAGGAGAGCGCCGAGGGGGGTTTGAGCGGGGCGGCTTCAGGGGCCGAGGCGGCGACCGCGGGGGCTTCAGAGGGGGCCGAGGGGGCGACCGGGGAGGATACGGCCCTGGGAAGATGGACGCAAGGTCAGAAACAAACAGCACTCTCTGGTAAAAAAGGCTTCTAAGTTTGAAACTGGAATATATTTTATTCAAAGTGTTAAAGCATCAAATGTACAGACAGTGTTTCCCACATATTCCTCACAGCCGTTCCTCCTGTCCACTCTGGACTCAATCAACAGTCCTCAGTCCATTCAGCTCATACGAGGCTTCAGCAGTCTGAACTACACAAATCAAATGTGAATCAGAATTAGAATCAGAATC